ATTGTTCTGCTGCAGAAACACAGAAATCTAATTTTGTTCAGAACTAGGTTGGAGTGGATCACTACCTTCTTCCTGACACCATTTGTTTACTTGGCTTCCAGGACACCACTCAACTTACCTGGTTCTCTGCCTACCTTTTTGGCCTTCCTTCTCAGTCTTGTTTGCTGCTGCTTCTTCTGGTCTCCTCAAACTCTGAATACTGGAGGAAACTATTTTCCATCTATGCTCACTCCCTTGATGATCTCACCCAGTCCCATGACTTTAAATATCATCTATGTGCACTGGGCAAATCTGCTGCAAATGACCTCTTTAAAGTGCTGAAGAGCAAAGATGTCTCTTTGAAGACTAAGGTGCACCTAACCTAACCCAAGCCATGGTGTTTTCAATCACCTCACATGCATATGAATGTTGGACAATGAATAAGGAAGAACAAAGATGAGTTGTGGTGTTGGTGAAGAATACTGAAAGTACCATGGAGTGCCAGAAGAATGAACAAATCTGCCCTGCAAGAAGTGCTGCCAGAATGCTCCTTGGAAGGGAGAATGGCCAGACTTCGTCTCATGGTCATATTGTCAGAAGGGACCATTCCATGGAGAAGGATATCACACTTGGTAAAGTGGAGGGTCAATGAAAAAGGGGAAGGCCTTCAATGAGATTGATTGACATAGTGGTTGTTAACAATGGGCTCAGGTATAGGAAGGATTGTGAGGCTGGTGTAGGACCAGGCAGTGTTTCATTCTGTTCATAGGGTTGCTATGAGTCGGAGCCAACTGGATGGCACCTAACAACAGAAAAAAAAAACATGTGCTGATGACTCCCAAATTGATATATCTAGCCCAGATCTCTTCCCTGACCTGCAAACCCATGCTTCCTTGACATCTCTACTCTTATAGCCATCTATAAGATAGGGGGTATCTATTTTGATCACTACTCAACATCTCAAGTGTAAAACTGAACTCCAGATATTCCTCCTCAAACTAGCACCTTCTAGTCTTTTCTATCACAAAAAAATGGCAACTCTGTGTTTCTAAGATGTTCAGGCCAAAATGCTTGGCTCCTCTCTTTGTTACTGTGCACCCAATCTTCCAGCACCTCCTGTTATCTCTACCTTCTAAATATATCCCAAATTCAACCACTTCTATCTGCCACGGCTAGATTATTACAATAGGCTCCCAACTGGTCTCCCTGCTTCTTCTGTCCTTGTCTCCTTGAAGTCTATTATTCATAGAATAGCCAGAGTGACCCTATAAAATGTAACTCAGAACTAGATTAATGGAAAGGAAACAACCAAACAGAAATGAGAATGTTCATGCACTGTGAAGAATGTAACCAATATCACCGAACAACTTGTACAGAAACAAATGGTAACCTAAACTGCTGCGTAAACCTTCACTGGAAACATAGTAAAACATTATTTTTTTGGGGGGTGGGGGGGTGGGGTGTAAGTCAGATTGTGCAGGTCCTCTGCAAATAAACTGGCTCCCTAATGAGGAGTAAAAATCAGAGTCCTTATTATGACCTGCAAGGCTATACTTGACACCTGCTACCTCTCTGTCCTCATCTACTCCTCTCCCCATAGGACATTATGCTTCAGTCACTCTAGGCCCTTTACATGTACTCCACCCCTACTCCCAAAAAATGCTCTCCTCCAAATGTCAGTATGGCTCTCTCTCTTCCCCTCTCTTCCTTCAGACCTTTACTCAAAAGTCACCTCCTCATTGATGTCTTCCTTGGCTCCCCTTTTTAAGCTTCCTCCTCTCCTGCCTACATGTTATTCTCACTTCTCTGATTTTTTTCTCCTCACTATTTACCACAACCTAAAAACTATATATTTTATTTGTCTATTATTTCTCTCTTTCATTGAAATGAAAGCTCCATGTGGAAAGGGATTTTTTTGGGGGGGAGGGGAAGGGATATCTGTTTTGATCACTACCGTATACCCATTACTTAGAATGTTGTTGTTGTTATGTGCCGTCAAGTCGGACCTGACTCATAGTGACCCCTCCTTGGGTTTCCGAGGCAGTATCACTACAGAAGTAGATTGCCCCATCTTCCTTCCGAGGAGTGGCTGGTGGGTTTGAAGTGCCAGCCTTCTGGTTAGCAGTCAAGTGCCTTAGGCACCACGCTACCAGAGCTATTACTTAGAATAGTAACTAGCATATAGTAAGGCACTCAACAGATATTTGTTGAATGAATGAATGAATGGAGTGAATGAATGAAGAGTGGGTGAGGCAAATTTTACTCTTTTCATTAAACTTTATAACAATCAGAACCGCTGGACACTGGACAATGTAATCACGGTAACGTTCATAGTACACAACCGTCAACATGTGTTTATCTCCTCAGATAACATGAGCCCAGGATATGAAGGAGGCTGGGCAGAGATTATGATGTGGGTTGAAAAGTAAACTCAGTCCAGACAGGGAAAATGGGCTTACTTTGCCAAAGGCCACACATCTGGTCAGGACAGGAGTGGAACTGTGGCTGACCACAGGCCCTGGAAGGGGCTAGTGGATGATTGGGAGTTGGGTTCTTAGGACCTGTATTTCCAGAAGGCTTGAGGATCTCTGGAGAGAAGGCTGAGTCAGAGGTTAATAGAATAGAGGCGTCAGCAAAGGAGTGGGAGAGTTGACAGAGCTGACCAGTAAGGGGAGGGCAGCTGAATTCACCAGCAGCTGAGTGTTGTGGCTGAGGTTTGACTTAAGCCTGGAGAGAATTTCCAAGGTCAGACTGAACATGCAATCTTAAGAGACCATGTTCACTGCGGGTCTGCATGGTCTGGCTTCCTTCTGGACTATGAAATCTTGGGGGCCAGGGACCACGTTTGTAAATTTATCCCCAGAGTCTAGTGGGGCCTGTAATATAGTAGGGAGCAAATGCTTTATTTGAAGGCATAAATGAATGACTGGCAAAACGAGAAACTGAGGTTGAGGGAGCATCCAAACTGCCATCCAGTTGATGCCAACTCATAGCAACCCTATAGGACAGAGTAGAATAGCCCCATAGGGTTTCCAAGACTGTAAATCTTTACAGAAACAGATTGCCTCATCTTTCTCTCACACAGCGGTTGGTGGGTTCAAACCACAGACCTTTGGGCTAGCATCTGAATGCTTTTAACCAGTGCACCACCAGAGCTCTTGAGAGAGGACAGGAGCAGCGATTCTCTAGGATAGAAGCAGGCTTAATTTTCCAGGCAGAGCGACTAATGGTGGAAGAGGATTAGTTCTTTTTCTTTTCACGCAGGTCCTGCAGGTAACTACCCATTACCCGGTGTTGGAGAGCAAATACTGTCTGGAGAGGGTGGGGAGGAAGGGGCAGAATTGGACGGGACCATTGGGGCGGGGCCAGGATGAAGAGGTTGATTGGCTGAGATAGAAGGCGGAAAGTGGGGGAGGTCCATGGAGTAGGCGTGGCAAATGGCCTCCCTCCCGCACGTGACTAAGGTGTGCTAACATCACATCCGTTAGAGTGGGGCGGGAGCGAGAACGTAAAGAAGGTCAAAGACGCATGCGTTATATCTGCCCTGGGATTTTTGGCGGGTTCTTCCGCTCAGGCTGGTAGAAGTGCTTCCGGGTCGCCGCCGGCTGTCGCCTACCCGGTGCGGTGAGTACAGAAGCAGATTGCTGTTGTTTCCTTTCCCCTTTTTCAGAGAAAACCAGTTCCCTTGATCCGTCTCCTCAGGAGCTCCATATTCCCGTTTACCCTTATAGACTTCCAGCTCATTGGCCGCTTCCTTGACACTAAGCCCCACCCTGCCATGCAAGATCCGTCATTCATTGGTGTCACTTCCTGTCACTTGCAATTCTTCCAGTCAATTGGCGGTTCTCAGACACCCCCCACCCCCCCCCGTTCCTTTCGTAATTAGCAGCCCTATAAGGGCAAATCATATCCGAGGCCCGCCCCTGCCGTCTTCCTGTTGGTCAACCCCACGGTCATTATCATACTGAGCAAACAACTTTCCGGAAGAATGGGCGGTGGCTGTTCGGCTTTGGGTTGGGCTTTCGGAGCCATGGTCTCTGGCCTCTCAGTATTTTCGGGAGGTGAGGGTGAACGCAGTCATGCCCGTTGCACGGGCTGGAAACTAAGGTCCAGAGAGGGGTTGCGGCTGCCCCTGGATCGATCAAATGAATCAGGGCAAAAGCAGGACTAGACAGAGATCTTTCTCCCGTTCGTCTTCCCTGGTGTCCGGCCTTGATCCCTTTTTCGCGGGAGTTCCGAGCTCTTGCTCATTGTGTGGCCTACAGCCAATCGGTGCTTCTCTCTGGGTCTTAATTTTCCCATTTGTGAGCTACAGGCTTTTAATTCAGACTCTGAGATCTTCCGTTTGGGCTTCCTCAGCCACTAAATCACAGTTAAATTCACTTTTTTTAAACATGTTAATCCATTCAGTCTCCCATCTATTTATCCATGTATCAACTCAGTTATTCACGCATTCTGAAATGTCTAATTGAACCCCTACTTTCACGTGTTTCTCCTTATTTAGCTGTGGTTCATGAGAGGTGATTAAGTGTTCCAAATTTCTGACACTGGGTGGGTGTGGTATGGATCATCATTGAACAGAAAGGCTTTTAGTGTTTAGAGGAGGCAGTAGAGACCCCTGCTACAGATAGTTTTGTAATTCCAGTCTGTATTGTGAATTCTCATCTCTACATTTGCCTCCCATTCTCTTTCCTCCTCAAACAGTTTACAAAGAGCTTTTTAAATCTGTAACATTTAGTTAGCAGAATAACTAAAAGGATGGCATAATTATTATAATCCCCGTTTTGCAGATGAGAAAACAGACTCAGAGAGGTTAAGTGACTCAGCCACGGTCAAAGAGCTAGTAAGTGGTGGAGCTAGGACTCAGACCCAGAGCTGTCTGATTCCAGGGGGAAGGGTTGCTTCTCTGCTATCTTCCACTGTACCTCATCCCCAAATCAAATAACAACTAAAAATAAAACACAACAAAAAACACAACTGAGAATTTAATTTACCTAATCCTTTCCTTCAGTCTAGGAGACATGTCTACTTTGTTTCCCTCACTCTTCCCCCGTGTGACGGAGACACTCTGGTTTAATCTGGATCGACCCTGTGTGGAGGAGACAGAACTGCAACAGCAGGAACAGCAGCATCAAGCCTGGGTGAGTGAGGAACTAGCCTTGTAGGGTCACAGTAGTGGGAGCCTTGGTTAGGAACCCCCTCCACTTGACCATGACCCATCCTTGTCCTGGAGACCTGCCCTGGAGTAGCTTTTTACCCTGAGCTGGGAAGAATTGAGCTGGGAGCCCAGGAGCTTAGGTTCTCAGGTTTGCCCTGCCCTAAATTCCTAGGGGATCATGGGCCCTCTGAAGCAGATTGGAGCCCTAGGCTTCTAAACATGCAGCCTAGGCTGAGTCTCTAAAGCACAGGAAATAATTTTGATTACTTACTGAGGACCTAGCAGATGCCATGTTCTAGGCTGATATTCTCATTCTCTCACTTCACCTTCCCTGTAATCCTAAGAGGAAATCAAGGCCCAGAGAGTTTATATAGTTGGATCAAGTTGTTCAGTAAAAAGAAAGGGATTGGGTCTTCCTGAGAGCTGGAAGGAGGTGCCATACTTGGGGGTTTTCTTGAGGGCAGAATGGGCCAGTCTCATGCTCCTGATTGGCCCTGGTTGGGCCCTGGCCCTGTTCCCCTCTTGTTTTGGCCATAGCTCCAGAGCATCGCAGAAAAAGACAACAACCTGGTACCTATTGGCAAGCCGGCCTCCGAGGTGAGTGGCTCCAGCAGGTTGAGTTGGTGTGGGGCTCAGGGTGGGCCAGGGCTCTGCCCTAATTTCAAAGTTCCTGCCTCTGACCCCAGAGCAATTTGGGTGATGGCCAGAAAGAAGAATTAGAGGGGTGGTCATTGGGGCCAGTGGAGGGCTGATCTTTTGTCCCCAGCACTAAAGTTTTACAGAACATGTACCAGTCTGCTAGACCTGAGGTAGGAAGGGTTAGGGAGTTGTGGGCCAGTCATTGGCCCTAGAGAGGAGGTCTAAATGGGCTAGCCCTTGAACTGGTCTGGGCAGGCGTATAGGGCCCACAGGCTCTCCCCTGCCCCACAGCACTATGATGACGAGGAGGAAGAGGATGATGAAGATGATGAAGATAGTGAGGAGGACTCAGAAGATGATGAGGACATGCAGGACATGGATGAGATGAACGACTACAACGAGTCACCTGATGATGGAGAGGTCAATGAGGTAGGTAGGTGTGTGGAGGGAGGGCCTCTGCTCTTGCACCCCTTCCCTTGACCTAATCTGGTGGCCAAAGGGTATAGAAACCCTGAATCCAGCTGGGAGAAGAGTGGATGAGGCCCTTGGGCTGGGGGCTGGCTGGGCAGCTGAGGCCCCTTCCCACCCACACCAGCCTCCTCCTCAGGTGGACATGGAAGGCAACGAGCAGGATCAGGACCAGTGGATGATCTAGGATGATCTAGGCAGGAATGTCCTCAGGGAGATGCCAGGCCAGCCCAACTCACCTTGCACCCCCTGCAGAAGCAGCTGATGTTCTTAGTGCCTGAAAGGGTTAACTTCAACTTTGGGCATGCCACAGCTGCTGCCAGGACCTGGTCTCCTTGGCCTCTTCCAGGCCATCAGCCTGCCCTTGAATTCCCAGGGCCTGAGCCCACCCCCACTTTCCTGGCCAGTACCTCTCCCCTTGGCTGCCAGGTCTGGTCTATTTCTAACTCTCTTTAATAAAGACACAGGACTGATTGATTTTTTTTTTCCCCTTGTCTATTCGCTATTTGTTGGTGAGGCCCAGAGAACTCTAGTGTCTTCTTTTAGGCTTTGAGGAGAGGGTACTGAAGGGACTCCACACAAGATCTAATTGTCCAGGTGGGCTGGGGAAGGTTCCTGTGCCATTTCCTCTGTCCAGCTTGTACCCAGCCCTTCCTGCTAGGCCTCTAACCCAGTGTCTTCTGTCTCTTCTGATCCCACCCAAAATGACATGGGCTGGGGAGGGGTAGCTTTCTGAGGGGAAGAGTGAGGAGGCCCCCAAAACTCTCCCAGTCACCTCCCTTAGTGTTATGAGAGAGGATTAACTCTCAGAGGTGGTCAGGGGCTCTCCTGTAGTCACCAGTGAATGGGTGACATAACTGGGTTGAGAACTTGGGCCTCTTGCTTGTCAGGCCATGACTCTCTCTGGGAGGAAGGGGACCATTGGGACCAAGCAGGCTGACAGAACTTGGCCCCTTAGGCCCTAAGCCTAGCATGTGTCAGACCACAAACGAAGGGGAGAGGATGTTCTCAGGTCCTTGTTGGGTGGGAGTGGGGGACAGGAATTAGTAGCCCTAGGCTTGGACCTCAGCCAGGTCCAGTGTAGGTGAGCTGGGCTATGCCATCCTTGATGGCAGGGAAGTCTGGGAGGCTAGTGTGATGGAGGCGGCAACGGTAGTGGCCACAGCTCTTGGCATACTGTAGGAAGCGGGGTGCACCAGGGAAGAGCACATGGTCAGCCAACACAGTAGCACCAGCTGACAGCAGGGCATGAGCTTCCAGGAGCTGCAGGTCCCGCAGGTAATATCGGGGCCGGTGTGCCAGGAGCACCAGCTCTGCCCGGCTCAGCCCATACTGGGTTCGTAGGAGTTGGATCACTTCCTCTGAGCTACCCACGATGAGCTCCACCTGTGGGAGTGGGGAAAGCTGGAGGTGAGCCAGGAGGGATTGCTCCCCTACTGCCTACCTTACCAGGATCTGGCTTAGTTCATGACAGAGTGTTCTCACATTTCTTCTGGTCTCATGATCCCAAAGTCAGGATCAGCCTTGTGATTCCCATTCTGTTGTGAAGAAGCTGAGGTTCAGAGGATAAATACTTTGCCCTAAGCCACACAGCTAATAAGAGGCAGAGCTAAAATTTGGATCTAGATTTGCCAGATCCCAGCGACCATCTGCTTAACTGCTTCTGTGTCACCCAGTAGAAAACATGCAAATGACTTGGGACAGGAAGGCATGAGCTACTCCACTCTCTAGGATCAGAACTCCTAAATGAAGCTGCTTTCTTCTGTCTAGGTGGGATCCCCCCATAGGGCAGGCCTGACCAGGGCAAGGGCTGGGGTGGCATAGAAGAGACCAGGGTTGGGGAGGTGGAAGCTGACCATACGCTCATCGAAGCCAGCCAGGCGGATGAGTTTTTCAGCCACTGCTGCCGTGCGTGGGTCCCGCTCCACAGTGAGAAGGCGGCCACCAGGGGGTAGGGCATGGGCAATAAGTAGTGTGGAGTATCCGCAGTAGGTGCCCAGTTCCAGCACACAGACAGGAGCCTTCTCCTCCACCAATCGTGTCAGGATCTGGCCTATAGAGGAGAGGTAGCTGTTGCAGAAAACTGGGAGTGATTTCCTGGTCCTTGATAGAAAGGCCCACCCCAACCAGCTGAGGTGTCACCTTGGTCCCCCTACTCTCTCAAAGCTTGCTTCAGTCTAGTCTTCACATACTGGGGATCTTTCTAACAAATCTTACTGTAGCATATTCTGGCATCTTTGATTCTAAAGGTCATTTGGGATCCTCAGCCTAGCCTTTAAGGCCTTCTAAGACCTGATTCTATCCTGTCTTTCCAGTATCAGGTCTCAAGTATTCCCACCTACAGCTTATGGCTTAGCCATCCCTAACAACTAACTCCATCCATAATCAGCTATGCTGGCTTAATCCTTCATGCCACATTTGTATATGTGGTTAGATTTGCTATTCTGCACCCCCATCCTTATCTGCCTGGACAACTCAAAAGCAGTCCTTCCAGGATCAATTCAAATGTTACTTCCTCCTGGAGGTCCCAGGCAAAAGCAACCACTTGATCTTCCAGGCTCCTGAGATGCTTTTCTAGAACTAATTTCATTCCCTCTTGTATACTGTTCATTGAAAATCTTTCTGATCTTGGAGTTGGAAGAATTTCTTAAATAGGAAAAGTTCTTGTACACACGTGGACTTCACCAAATGGACTATTAATCAACTACATCTGTCGAAAGAGAAGCTCAATATCATTAGTCAGAACAAGGGGTTAACTGTGGAACAGACCATCAATTGCTCATATGCAAGTTTAAGTTGAAGCTGAAAAAAATGAAAACAAGTCCATCAGAGCCAAAATATGACCTTTAGCATATTCTGCCTGAATATAGAGACCATTTCAAGATTAGATTTGACATATTGAACACCAATGATCAAACACCAGATGAGTTGTGGGATGACATCAAGGACATCATACATGAAGAAAGCAAAAGGGGATTAAAAAGACAGGAAAGGAAGACCAAAATGGATGTCAGAAGAAACTCTGAAATTTGCTCTTGAACAGAGAGTAGCTAAAGCAAATGGAAGAAATGATGAAGTAAAACAGCTGAACACAACAATTCAAAGGGCAGTTTGAGAAGACAAAATTATTATAATGAAATGTGCATAGACCTGGAGTTAGAAAACCAAAAGGGAGAACATACTCTGCATTTCTCAAGCTGAAAGAATTGAAGAAAAAATTCAAGCCTTGAGTTGCAATATTGAAAGATTCTATGGGCCAAATATTGAACTATACAGGAAGCATCGAAAAAAGATGGAAGGAATGCATAGAGTCACTGTACTAAAAAGATTTGGTCGACATTCAATTATTTCAGGAGGTACTGAAGAACCAAGGGTACTGAAGGAAGAAGTCCAGGCTGCACTGAAGGAATTGGGCAAAACAAGGGTCCAGGAATTGATGGAATACCCACTGAGATATTTCAACAAATAAATGAAACACTAGAGGTGCTCACTTGTTTATGCCAAGAAATTTGGAAGACAGCTACCTGGCCAACTGACTGGAAGAAATCCATATTTATACCCATTCTGAAAAAAAGGTGATCCAACAGAATGCAGAAATTATCAAACAATATAATTAATATCAGACAAAAGTAAAATTGTGCTGAAGATAATTAAAAAATAGTTGCAGTAGTATATTGTGAAGGAACTGCCAGAAATTGAAGCTGGATTCAGAAGAGAATGTGGAAACAGGAATATGATGGCTGATATCAGATGGGTCTTGGCTAAAAGCAAAGAATACCAGAAAGATGTTTACTTATGTTTTATTGATTATGCAGAAATACTCGGCTCTGTGGATCATAAGAAGTTATGGATAACATTGCGAAGAATGGGAATTCCAGAATACTTAATTGTACTCATGAGGAACCTGTATATACACCAAGAGGCAGTCGTTGGAACAGAACAAGAGAATACTGCTTGGTTTAAAATTAGGAAGAGTGTCCATCAGGGTTGCATCCTTCCACCACACTTACTCAATGTATATGCTGAGCAAATAATCCAAGAAGCTGGACTATATGAAGAAGAACACAGCATCAGGATTGGAGGAACACTCATTAATGCCCTGCAATAAGCAAATGACACAACTTTGCTGAGAGTGAAGAATATTTGAAGTACTTACTGATGAAGATCAAAGAGTGCAGTCTTCAGTATGGATTGCACCTCACACAAAGAAAACAAAAATCCTCACAACTGGACTAATAAGCAACATCATGATAAATGGAGAAAAGATTGAAGTTGCCAAGGATATAATTTTACTTGGATCCACAATCAACACTCATGGTAGCACCAGTCAGGAAACCAAATGATGTATCTCATTGGGCAAATCTGCAATAGACCTCTTTAAAGCATTAAAGAGCAAAGATGTCACTTTGAAAACTAAAGTGCATTTGACCCAAGCCATGGTATTTTGAATAGCCTCATATACATGTGAGAGCTGGACAATAAGTAGGGAAGACCACAGAAGAATTGATCCACTTGAATTATGGTGTTGGCGAAGAATACTGAATATACCATGGACTGCTAGAAGAATGAACAAATCTGGGAGGAAGGACACCTGGAATGTTTCTTAGAAGTGATAATGGTCAGACCTCATCTCCCATACTTTGGTCGTGTTGTCAGAAGAATCAGTCCCTGGAGAAAGATATAATGCTTGGTAGAGGGTCAGCAGAAAAGGGGAAGACACTTAATGAGATGGATTGACCCAGTGCCTGTGACAATGGGACAGTTGTGAGGATGATGCAGGACTGGATGGTGTTTTGTTGTACAGAGGGTCGCTATGAGTCAGAGCCAACTCAACAGCAACAACAAAGCACATGTGTTGGGATCTGAGACTCATAAATCCAAGTAGACAGCTAACTTGAGTGGGTGAGGAAGAAAGACTTAAAACCAGAGCATTACAAAGCTATGGGATATATGGTGTGATGGACATTCCCTTGTATTGTGCTTCCCCTTGAGACCAGCATCTGTGGCTCATGCACCCCTTTGGTCTCTACCTACTCCTTCCCCAGCACCTAGCACATGCCTAGTATAAAAGAGGTGGCAGTAATTGTTTGCTGGATGAATGAATGAATGACTTGGCTCAGCCCCCTCATTTTTAGATGAGAAGAAAAGAGAGAGACACAGACAGTAAAAAAAGAACCTGCCCAATTCACATTGTGAGGCAGAAGCAGATGCTAGACCTTCGTTCATCTTGGGTAGGGTTGTTGGAACAGGAAGGCTAAGGAACACTAACCTTTAACAGGCCCCATGTGGCCTAGGTATTCACAGCATCTGCTCCAGTGGTCCAGGGTGGTGACGATGTGACCAAGGTCCCCAGGCAGAGCATGGGTAAGCACATAGCTGAAGGCCCGCTCCTCGATGCGTAGCCCTGACAGGCAGTCTCGGAGGCTTCTCAGCAAGACTGTGCGCACCAGCAGCCGGAAGTGGTGCCGGTACCGCACTAGCAGTGTCACTATTAGTGGCAAGAAGGCCAGTGCAATAGCAGGGGACATGGTCCCCACCTTGGCCCTGAGGTGGGATGGAGAGAGGGAGGGAAACTCACCATTTGCCTGTCATTTGTGCAGTTATTATCCCTTGCATTTCCCTCTTTCCCTGTTCCCGCTTTCAAGATTTCCTGCACAAACATCTACACACACATTACACATACTACACACCTTTTCCCCAATCAGCCCTCCTCTTCAGAGTACCCCTGTGGGTGATAGGGGCTCCTATTTTCTTGTGTCCTGGACCAACCTCCCACTCCTTCAGATTCAATGTGTGCAGGGACCCTTGTGGTGGAGACTGAAAAATGAAAGTGAGAGTGCGTGAATGAGTGTGCATAGGTAGTGATGGTGAGCTTGAGATGGTGTGATTAGGAATCCGTACTCAAGGGCCCTGCTTACCTGGGCAGAAGGCTCCTGCTCGGTGAAGACCAGACAGAGCACAGGATAGGAGGTGGAGTCTTGGGTGGAGAAGAACCCTGAGGCAGGAGGCTGGACCTGCTGTCAATTATTGATGTTGAGGCTGCTGCTGTCACTTGAGACCTATAGTTCAAGTTACTAGCTCCAGGGACAGGCTGGTGCTGCCTCCTAACCTTAAAAAAAAATGCAAACTCACTGCCATAGAGTCAATTCCCACTCATAGTGACCCCTCCCTGGGTTTCTGAGGTGGTATCACTACGGAAATAGATTGCCCAACCTTCCTTCCAAGGAGTGGCTGGTGGGTTTGAACCGCCAACCTTCTGGTTAGCAGTCAGATGCCTGCCCTTTAGGAGCCCTAAATGAACTTATAAAGTTTCAGGATCTTGATTTGAGGTGTGATAAAAGCTATTGAAGGAGTTGTGGTGGAGCTGTGGTTAAGGCATTTGGCTGCTAAAAGGTCGGTGATTCAACCCACCAGCCACTCTGCGGGAGAAAGATGAGGCAGTCTGCTTGCATATTTCCAACCTTGGAAACCCAGTGAGAAGTTCTACTGTGTCCTAAAGGGTCACTATGAGTCAGGATCTACTCAATGGCAGGAGTGGGTAAGAGGTACTGGGTCTGGAGACCTCTCCTCCAACCCCTTGGTTCAGGATATGGGGATGCTGTGAGCCAGGGTGTTGGGGTGACTAATTTACTCATTCATTCAAAATTCAAGTTTTCTTTAAACAAGTGCTGGGGTTTGAATCACAAAGAGGCAGATTCTGTCCCTGTTGTCCAGGAACTCTCAGTGTGGTAGAAGAGACTGACCTAGGAACAGAGACCACAATAGTGTGATCACTAGATTGGATGCTTCATAGGTATGGGGATTTTTTGGATGTTTTGTTAACTGCTGCATATCTACATAGAACAGTGCCTGGCATTTGCTAGTAGACAGTATTTGTTGATTCAATAAATGAATGATTTAACACTAAAAAGGGATTAACACAGGAAGCTGGTGATGCCCAGAGAATGGTGTCAGAGAAGGCAATCAGACGTATGTCGTGTGCATTGGGTCTTGAAGCCAGAAAGCAGGTCTGGTGGGGAAGCTGTGCCAGGGCACCGGTGCCAACTCCAGGAGGTCAAACAGAAACTGCAAGTATTTTACTATGGCAGTGAGGGACTCCCTACCCTCACCCTCTTCCCCTAGAGTGGGAGGCAGATGTCAAGACGCTGCAAGATCTTGAATGAGACCTGGACCTCGTGTTTACGGCCCGAGGGAAGGCATGGGAGTGCTAAGAAAAAAGCATTGATGGTCAGCTTTGTGTGTTATTTTACTGTGTATCAGACAGTTGTAAAACCAAAAAACCAAGCCCATTGCCATTGAGCCCATCCCGACTCATAGCGACCCCCATTGGATTTTCAAGGCAGTACATTTTTACTGATACTTCCAGTTGCCTCATATGCATGTGAGAGCTAGACAATGAATAAGGAAGACTGAAGAAGAGTTGATGCTTTTCAGTTGTGGTGCTGGAGAAGAATGCTGAAAAGTACCATGGACTGCTAAAAAAACTAACAGATCTGTTCTGGAGGAAGTGCACCTGAAATGCTCCTTGGAAGCGAGAATGGCCAGACTTTGTCTCACCTACTTTGGTCATGTCAGAAGGGACCATTCCTTGGAGAAGGATGTCATACTTGGTAGGGTGGAGGGTCCACGAAAGAGGGGGAGGCCTTCAACAAGATGGATTGACATGGTGGCTGCAATGATGGGCTCAAGTAGAGCAGGGATCATGGAGCTGGCATGGGATCTGGCAGTGTTTCTGTGTGTGGAATCGCTATGAGTCGGGAACGACTGAAGGGCACCTAACAACAACAACAACAACATTTTTACTTAAGTAGATTGCCCATCTGCTTTCCGCTGAACGCCTGGTGGGTTTGAACCACCAACCTTCTGGTTAGCTGTCAAATACCTTACGCACTGCTGCCAGCAGAGGCTCCAATGTTGTTGCTACGTGCCCTCAAATTGGACCCGACTCACAGTGACCCCTCTTTGGGTTTCCGAGGTGGTATCACTACCAAAGTCGATTGCCCAACCTTCCTTCCCAGGAGTGGCTGGTGGGTTTGAACCGCCAGCCTTCTGATTAGCAGTGAACTGCTTTAGGTTCTACATCACCAGAGCTCCTGAGGCCCCAATAAAAGGGCTGAATTGAAGGGAACTGCCTGAGGGCAGGATCAGGGATGCTGCCTCCAACTCCTTTACCAGGATTGAGCTCCACTTTGTTTTGGTCGGTAAAGGTACGTGGTCGCTTATTTCAGTAAGTCAGATTCCCAGGTCAGGCTGGGAACTCCACTGGGCGTCACCCTGTATGTCTCCCAGCTGGGCACCGGTGTGTGAGTTCGCCCCTGGCACGACCATTAGAAGGCCTATCAGGGCAGTAAGGGGAGCTCTGGTGGGGCAGTACCTAAGGCATCTGACTGGCAGTTCAAACCCACCAGCCACTCCGGTGGAGGAAGATGGGGCAATCTACTTCCGTAAAGAATTACCGCCTTAGAAACACAATGGGGGTCGCTAGGAGTCGGAATCGACTCCATGGCAGTGGGTTTGGTTTAACAGGCACGTATTTGGGATGAGTTTATTTTCTGATCCAGAAAACTGGTCTCAAGGCCATGCAATCAACTAGCATGAGTCCTAAGACGGCACTTTCGCCAGCGGTGGACTATTAGGGACTGGGAAGAAGGTTAAGTCATATGATTCCGCCCCCCCCCTTTTCCTCGCATCACATGTCTCGTTTTTTAGTTATGCAGGGCGCGCTTCCCCATTGGTTGGTGATGGTCTTGCATTGGGAGGCGGGACCGGAAGCGTGGGCTGCGGAGCCTGGCGGAGGCGAAGAGACTGGGAAGGAGTCGGCGCGGGGGCTGGTGTTTGCCAGTGGGATGCAGCCAGAGGTCATGTGACCGGAAGGGTTCCTGACGGACGCCGTCCCTCCTCGGCGCCGCCTGAGCGCCCGGCCCGACCCCGGCCATGGGGTGCTGCTACAGCAGCGAGAACGAGGACTCGGACCAGGTGCGGCCGCGGCGGGCGGGGTTCGGGAATGAGGGCTGAGACCCTAGGGCATGGGGAGAAAAAAAAAAAAAAAAAACCAACAAGCACCCTGCAGAAGACAGTCGAGCTGCAAGGCTCGGAGTACGGGGGCCCGAAAGGGACAGATTACAGAGGGGACGTTGAGCCGAGCTCTTTGCCCTGTTAAACCTCCAGGGCTCTACACAGTCTTCGCCTTGGGGTGTTCAGGTAGCCCCCTCTCGCTTTTGCTCCCACCATCTCCCCCTATCTTGACACTTTTACGGAGCCTCAGCCTAGGTCCCAGGGAAGCACTTCTTTCTCTGTGCTTGTATTAGCTGGCATTGTGAATCTGCTGTAGAGATAGGTAAGCTGAAGCTGTGAGTAAGCCTGTCCCGAGATGAACCAGAAATTTGTGTACCCGTTCAGTCCCTGTTGTTGGAAAAGGAAGGTCACGGCTGGTCTTGGTGTCAGAGAAGGCCATGAATTGACCAACGAAGGATTTAATAGGTAGAGACAAAGAGGACATGGTGGAAAACTCTTTGGGAAGCAACAAATGGGGTTTAGCAGTGGCCTGATTGGGGTGGGGGAAGCAGGGAATGCGGAGGGAGCTATTTAGTACTGAGTTTGGTTTGTCTTAGTGCATTCCCAGGGGGGGGGGTTGAGGTTTCCTCTAGTCAGGTGACTATCCTGAGAATTTAGCTGTAGATCTGACACCTGGGATAAAGGATTAAGCTGGGAGACAGTACAGTTTTATGTTATCCTCCCTTTGATAGGCTCTCACTTCTCTCATCATTAAATCCCTGTCCTGCCTGGCCTGACCACTTTTGAGGATGGAGAGGCCTTTCCAAGCATGACGTTTCAAGCTGCTAACCAATCATCTTTTTTCTTTCTTTTTTTATCGGTTCTAGTGTTTTATACCTACCTACCCTTAGTAGTTCTCTTGGTGTAGCAGTTAAAGCATTGGGCTTGCTAGCCCAAAGATTGGTGGTTAGAACCCACCAGCCGCTTGGGGAGAAAGATGAGGCAGTCTGCTTCCATAAAGATTTACAGACTTGGAAACCCTATGGGGCAGGGGCAGTTCTACTCTTCTGTAGGGTCACCGTGAATTGGAATCAACTCAGTAGGTTAACCGAAACAACAAACCCACGACCACGTAGTCAGTTTGTACTCATAGCGACCCTACAGAATAGAGTAGAACTACCTCCATCGGGAGCTCTGGTAGCATAGTGGCTAAGACACTTGCCTGCTAACCAGATGGGTGGCGGTGGAAACCCAAGGAGGGGTCGCTATGAGTCGGGTTTGACTCGAGGGCACATAACAACAACTACAATAACAAACCCCATAGAGGCTGTAAATCTTTACTGAAGTTGACTGCCTCATCTTTCTCCCGTGGAGAAGCTGGTGGTTTTGAACTAGTGACTGTTTGGTTAGCAGACCAATATGCCAGGATGCTACCAGGGCTCTTTTTTGTTTTATAGAACCCTCTAAGCCTCAGTTCTTCAGTTTAACACCTAGTGGGCATAAGAAGCAACAGAAAGCTTTCATCAAGTAGTTCAGCTAGTAGGGATCACAGAAATATTCTATCGGTAGTATTTGGAAAGTCAGTCAGTCTTTCCCCCAAAGATTCATATGAATCTTTTCTTTGGATGAGGGATTAAGCTCAGGAAAATGTCCTTTGTGTGAGAGGCATGGGTGGGTCCTGGTCCTCATTAATTCACCAAAAAACACACTGAGCACATATCATATTTCCTAGGCTCTATGTTAGGCACAAAAGGACCTCTGGTGTTATAGTGGTTAAAGCATTGGGCTGCTAACCCAAAAGTTGGTGGTTCGAACCCACCAGCCACTCTGTGGAAGAAAGATGAGGCGGATTACTTGTAAAGATTTATAGCCTTGGAAACCTTGAGGGGTTGCTATGAGTTGGAATCAATTTAGTGGCAGTAAGGTTGGTTGGTTGGTTGGTTTTTTTTTTTTTTTTTTTTTATGTTAAGCGTGCATCATGCGCGTTACTTCTTAAAAGCCATATGTGGACTCTTGTAAGGAGTGAGCCAAGAAGAGTTAATGCCTTTTGAGAGACATGCTGTCAGCTCCTAGCAGAAAGGTGAATCCAGGCTTGCTCCTGTCCTGAATGTCTTACCCTTGATGGGCTCTCACTTGTGTTTCTAACCCCCAGAGAAGATGCTTGATCAGTGCTGGGTGATTTGAGGTGCCATGTTGCAAAGATCTACTTACCCAGTCTAAGGTCATAACTGTTCACTGTCTTTTTGACATGGGTGTAGGGGTTCTGGTCCAAAAGGCCCTTTTTCATCTCTTGGGTAAGTTCCTCTCCCATTCTCATCCCTGTCTCTTTATTATAATAAAAAGAAATGTACAATGCATTACAGTTTTCCAAGGGCTTATACAGTTCTCTGTTTGACTCTTGCCATACATCTGCCACATAAGGAGAGGTGATGTCTTTTTACATTGAGGGGAAGGCTCAGAGAAGCTGTCATTTAGCTAAGGTAACAAAGCCAAGGAATAGGATAGCAAAGGTTTTGTGATGCCCAGCCATGTGCTTTATCCATTGGCCCACGCCAGGGGCAGAGTACTCAATAAGCGCCTACTTGTGCTTACTTACTAATCTAAAGTGAACAATTTCACATGGGCTTCATTATTCACTACACATTAGTAATCAAGCACAAGTAAGCCCATGCTTACTTTGCTTACTGAATACTTTGTTCCTGTCAGGGATTGTACATTTGAAAAGAAGCTTTGATTCTGTAAGTAGGTGCTTGGGGTTGGGAGAGAGACAGATGCTAGCCATGCCTAGAAGCATAATCTTTGATGTGAAAAAATGTGAGACTGTTCACTAAGATTAGTAAGTAAGTACAAGTAAGCCTGTGCGTACCTTGTTTATTGGGTAATCTGACACTGGGCCGAGCCCACAGACCAGGTGGCCAGTCATGGGCAGGCCACATGTATCTGTGCTAGGGTAGACAGTGGAACCCTGACTCCTGGGTTCTGTGGACTCAGGGACAAACTATGATGTTCCCTTGCTGCTTCTTTGTTCCACTTGCCCTTTAAAGGTGGAGTGATGTTATTTTCTATTCTGATGGGGATAGCAAGTCTCAGGAAAACAATCTTGTTCTTGGAGAACTCCTCATGGGGGGAACTGGAGCGAGTTCTGTCTTTGGCAAGCATTTTGTCTTTCTAGCCCTTTAATCCTGAGCCTCTGTTTTTGGGAGGAGGGGGAGGATATCTGGGATTTTGGAGGTAATTAGGAAAGAAGCCCATAGCTTCTGTTTCATACAGTTGGGAACTGGATCAAACTGCCTGAGGACCCAGGGCTGGCAGGGCAGGAGGAAGTGGCCCTGAGTAAAGAGAGTAGTTGGCATTAGGGGGCTGGGAGCCTGCAGCGGGAAAGTCTGTAGTAGGAACTGATAGAGGCCTGAGGTGGAACACTGAGGAGCCTGGTGGTCTGCTTGGTGAGTCAGCATTAGCCAGGAGGGGTCCTCCCCTTCCATCTTTGGTTTTGTCCTGGCACCCTTGCTGTTTATGACTTAAATAGATAAGTAGTAGACCTGCTTATCCAATTTGTAGCTGACACAAAGCCAGCAGGGATTTGCAGCTCTTAGCTTCAAGGCAGGGTTGTAGCTAGGAAGATCACAATGATTAGAATAAGGGACTGAAACAGGACAGGGAGAAATAGATACAGGACTAGGGGAGACTTGGTTTGGTCCCAGGTCAGATCCAGAGATTATAATTACACAGAAGACTAGCAGTAACAGAGCTGCTGAGAATTAAGGAGGCCTCTCAGGTCACATTAATTCAGGGGGTGGGTTGGCAAGAGAGGGAATAGCTCCACTGTTCAGCTCAGGTCAGGATGGTGCACTCAGTTTGGTCCTGGGAGTCACATAGAGAGTCAGAGAGGAGGGTGAATACTTGAGAGTAGAACAGATCTGCCCTCAAGAAGGGGGGACACGCGGAACATGTGACTTGGGGGTTGGGGCTCATGTTCCTGCCCTGAGATAATTTGAGGAAAGGCCTTTGAGAGGTTGAGCTTGTTTTCCCTTGGTACCTAGGACCTTGTATCGCTTTAGTGGGGCCTCTCCATCCTGGGTGCAGACACCCTTGCTGGGAGGGCCTGGATCTAGGGGATCAGGAGAGACATCCTTAGGCTTCTGATTTGATCAGTCTCCCTTCTAGACCTCACTGTCATTTTGGTATTTTCTGAAGCTTCAGGGCTCTTGCTGAATCATGCTTTGTTCAGAATTGTCAGTGTTTCCTGGGCCATTTCAACCTGGCCAAGCTCCTCTGTCCATCTTTTCAGGATCTCTGGGACCTCTTGGTTCTACTCTTCTAGTTCATCCTAGAGCACTGAGCCTAGGATGGAGACCCTATGCGATAGAGTAGAACTACCCCCATAGAGGCTGTAAATCTCTACTGAAGTTGACTGCCTCATCTTTCTCCCTTGGAGCAGCTGGTGGTTTTGAACTAGTGACCTTGACTCAGCTCAGGGGCATGCAGGAACTGAGTCTTATCTGACATTCCACAAACTTGAGCTCTTTGGATATTCCTAGTAAAAGTATCACTAATGCTTATAGGTCAGAGCTGGACTGAGGGGGGAGCCTCAGGAAGTGCAGGTTGGACTAAGTGTCCTGGGGCTGACTTCTCCCCCATGACCTATCCTAGGACCGAGAGGAGCGGAAGCTGCTGCTGGACCCTAGCAGCCCCCCTACCAAAGCCCTAAATGGAGCTGAGCCCAACTACCACAGCCTGCCTTCTGCACGCACAGATGAGCAGGCCCTGCTCTCCTCCATCCTTGCCAAGACAGCCAGGTGAGCCTCACAGGACCAAGCTTGGGCAGAGCTCCTCCATCCAGATTCAAGGCTGAGATCGAGGGAGCCAGGCCCAGGACATGGGAGCTGGGACAAGGTCAGTGGGGAGCAGTGCCTCTGGGCCCTGCCCAGTGGGCTGGCGGGGACACTGGTGTCATATAGCCCTGAAGTTGGCACCTGGCAGTGAGTCCTGTTTGTCCCTTCTGGGAGCACCTGTCATATTCTCTCTGTCTCCTCCCTCTCCAAAGCAACATCATCGATGTGTCTGCTGCAGACTCCCAGGGCATGGAACAGCATGAGTACATGGACCGAGCAAGGCAGTACAGGTGAGCACCTGGCTAGCTTGACTCCCTCAGGCTACTAGGGCTCCCCCCTCCCCCACCTCTGATTCTGCTTTGGAGCCTGGACCCAGTCCATGATTATTTGGGTACAGTGTAGGAGACTGACCACAAATCACTTTGGTGCCTCAATCGATGTTCATATCAACCCTGTTTGTCCTATCATACCTTTGAGGGCACTAAAGCCCAGGAAAGTGGGTTCAGTGAATTTGTGATGAGCCAAGGCCACCTGTAACCCTGATTCTCTGGCTTGAGGGAGTGAGGCTGGCCTGAGCTGGACAGACTGATCTGATTCTGCCCACTCTGTCCCTCTCTCTTGGCCAGCACTCGCTTGGCTGTGCTTAGCAGCAGCCTGACCCATTGGAAAAAGCTGCCGCCGCTGCCATCTCTCACCAGCCAGCCCCACCAAGTGCTGGCCAGCGAACCCATCCCCTTCTCTGACTTGCAGCAGGTGAGTCACCCTGCATCCCCTCAACCCCTTCTCCTCCCACCCCCATTCCTGGTGTGGCAGAAGGGCTCACCAACCCTTCCTCAAAGGAGGTAGGGAAGTGGTGTGGGGGCCTGGTACTTTGTGGGCCCCTGCTCACTCCTAACTCACACTCTTACTTTTTATATCCTCCTTTTCCCTCTCCTACAACATACATCTTTATTCTTTTTCTACCCTTGGTTTTTTTCTCTTCTGTTTTTCCCATCCCTGCCTCTCTCTCTTATTCCTGACCTCCCCTTACCTGTTTTTCTGTTCCTCTTCTCCCCGGCCCTCTGTCTCACAGGTCTCCAGGATAGCTGCTTATGCCTACAGTGCACTTTCTCAGATCCGTGTGGACGCGAAAGAGGAGCTGGTTGTACAGTTTGGGATCCCATGAAGAGAAGGGTCCTCGGACAGCTCTTACTCTTCTTTCTTCACCTCGTCTCCACCCCACCTCCCCTGTCTCCCAGCCTCACTGCAGCACATACAGTACCCTAACCTGCTACTAATCACAGAAAAGAATGTGGAGGAGGAGGAGAGTGAGGCTAGAGGTCAGAATAAGTGAGGATGGAGCAAGGAAGGGTAGAACTGTTTGAAACTGGCCTTCAAAACCCTGGCTGGGGTGGGTTGGGGCTGAAAAGGATGTGGCCTGGTGGGTCTTCACAGTCATTGGGAAGGGGAGGTACCACTGTGGGGGTGATCACCGGAGGGTCTCAGGGGGCCCCTTCCCACCCCTTCTCTGGCTCTCAGATTCACTCCTGTCCCCCTCTCCCTGACTTGGTGCTTACATGCACCTCAGTAGGGTTTGTGACCCGGGTCTGGACAAGCTTGAATTTGAATGAATTGAGTTTGTATTTCTAGCGTCCTGGGTTTTTACATGTTTGGTCTTTTTTCTTTTTGTTTTGGTTTATCACCCTCGATAAAGGAAGTGTATTCATCTGTGTGCTGGTTCTAGCCCCTCTGTCCTGCCCACCACCCTACTACTAAATTCTAGCTACTTCAGTCTGAAGTGAGGTGGGAGGAGGGGACATTCTCTAGGGGCATTAGGGATGAATCCAGGAGATAAGAGTTCAGGGTTCCCAGGTGAGACCTGGCTTTGGCTAACCTCAGATTGGATGATAAGAACATGCTTTTCCTTTGTCCAGTGATGGGGACACTGTTAAAGCTGGACAGACTTGAATCTGGGGCAGCTGTCACTGTTGGGGGCCCTGCCTCGGGCTCAGTGGAATTCCTAGGAGCTGGGGAGCTGGGCAGGCTTGGGGGCCATACCAGTTCTCTTGGGAGCACCTGAGCTGGAGTCAGTAAACAAATGTTTTAAGCAGAAGAATCTCTTATCAAATGAAGTCTTAAGCAGAATCCCAAAATAAAATGGTGGACCTACTCTGATCTGACTGATGAGGTTTCAGAGATGACAGTTCATCTTCTTGGCCTCCCATCCTAGAGGCCTCAAGCATCTCTGCAGAACCTTGCTACTTTGTGAAAAGTTTGGAAATTACTGATCTGATCAAACCCCAGGATATGTGAGCTAAGAAGTAAAAAAAGGGCTGAGAGAAGCTAGCTAACTTTCCCAAGACCATGCAGCAAACTCAGGTCTTCTGCTCCCTGTCTCAGTGAAGTAAGACCAGAGATCTTGGCAGCTGCTTGAGTAGTGTGGCATCTCTATAAGGTACAAGTGACTTCAGCTCAAATCATTTATTATCAAACCAAGCTGACCATCTTCAGTCCTTTAGGACTGCTGAAGTCCTGGCAACTCAGAGTACGTTCTGCTTGACTCGGACCTTCTTGGGTTTGATGTTCATGCGTTTCCAGACTTCGGCTGTGGTGTGGTCTGCTTTGGTCACCCCACTGAAGTCGAATGTGGTGATACGGGGCAGAGTGCACAGTACATAATGCCTGTAGGGAAGAGTTGGGCTGGGGGGCAGCCCCCCCTGACCAGAACTCCCTTCCCCCTCCACCAGTTGCCGCTGTTTTTCCTGACTGCAAGGAATGGAGGGACTTCACTATAGTTTGGAGGAAAGTAGGCTTACCCTGACAGCAAGAAATGCTTAAAGGTCTGCTACTCCCTTCCCTGGCCCCAGCGTGGCAGAAGAATGGCCTTGGGTTTCTTGTCTCCCTTCCCCTTTTCCTGAGGGGCAGGGCACTTACCTGTATCCCTTCTGTTCTTCCATGGGATTACCATGGAGTGTCAGGCTTCGAAGCTTAGGGAGAACAGCTAGCTTATCTACCTCACCAAGGCGTTGGATGCTGTTGCCATGGAGATAGAGAACACTCAAGTTGAAGAAGGTTGTCAGGACCTGTTCGGGAAGGAAACCAAGAGCTAGGGTAGAAGGGGCCCTGGATCAGAGCTCAGGACTATACCCTTGGCAGAGAAAGACAAGTTTGGAGAACAACTTGCTCTTTACTGCCCTGCAGGCCTACTGGATGACATTTAACCTATTTTGATTTACTCCGAAGAGGTACAGGGGCAATACACTAAAGCAGAGCTGTGATCTGAGAAGCAGGAGATAGGAGCTTGTCATGGACTTGCCAGGTGACTGGACCAGTTCCTGCCTCTCCCTGGGTTTGTTTGTTCCTCTACCACTTCAGTGAGAACCTTTCCAGCTTTGATGATCTAATACTCTGTCACAGCAGAGGGACAGAAATACAGAGCATCAGCTAGCCACAAAGGAGCAGTGAACTGAGAATGATGCCCAAGTTATGTTTCAGTTCCTTTCCACCCTACCAGGGATGCTGGATAAGAAGGAGCCGTTGTTTGTTATTTCCTAAAACTTGAATCAGTTCATAAAAAGTAGTACTGCACATTCATCACCTGTCTCTTTCGCAACAGAGTTCAGCATAAGACACAGTGGGTGCTTAATAATGAAAGCTACCATTTAACTGTATCCTCCTATGTGCCAGTTAAAAATGTTTATACATCCCATGCAATTCTCACAAAATCTTTTGGATGCTGGTATATTATCGCCTAAGGTTTTGGGAGACTAAGTAACTAAAGTCACATTGCCAGTAAGAGGTAAACCCTGGATTTGGACCTTCATCTGTCTGACCTCATATCTATGGGCTTTGCGCTGTATCATAATGCCTTGCTATTTTCTTGATAAAAAAGGAATTGGAGAAGCTGGGGGCTGAACAAGGTGATGGCAGGCCCACCATGACTCGACTTACAGGGCTGAGAACTTACAGGGTCAATGGAAGTGAGGTCATTGAAGGACAGGTCAATCCAGGCCAAGTTCTCTGGGTGCTCCAGCAGCTGTGAGACCACCGGGTTAAAGTCTTTCAGGTCGTTGAGGACATTGTTGTTCAGCCACAGGGACTGAGTTAGTGACTTCCCCGACTTGGAGTGCCTCAGTGGTCGGAGCCCTGCCCTTGGCTCCTCACTTACCAGGTCTGTGGGAATAGAGAAGGCTTGGGTATTTGCTTCCTCAGCTTTGGGGGTGGGAAGGGGCAGAGCTTAAAGAATCAGCCCAAGCTGTAGCTAGAGGGGCTGACAGGGCCATAGTCTCATACTGAAGGTTATAGTATGACCCTATCTGCTTTAGGCTAAATAGCCTATTTCACTGGTCCCAACAATCAGTTTGGATTAAGGGCCAAAGATTTCCCATACCAAATGCCTGGCTTTCCAGGTCCTCATGGCTGCTGTCTGGTTGGGGCCTTTGTCTACTACCTCATGTTAGTGTGGAGGACAAAGCCACTCTCATTTCATAGATAAGAAAACTAAACCAGAGTTGTTGGGCTTGAACCAAGATGGTAGCACAAACCAGAATTACCCACTGGTAGTCTGTAAAATTCACTTTCATGTAAAACACTTCTGTTGTCTTCCTTCTCTTGCATTAGTGTTAAGAACCTACTATGTGCCAGATACTAGATACACAGTGGTGAACAGAATGAGACCATCTGGCATCTGTGCCTGCCTCTGTATGAGTCTGTGCCTTGGAGGAGCTTACTTACCAAGATGAGACAAGTTAGCAACACAGTGTGATAAGTGCTATATAACAGTCATGGGTGTACTGAGGGACTCCTAATAATCTAGGAATTTTCCCAGGAAGGTGATGCCTGAGCTGGATCTCAGAGGATAAAGCAAAGAAGGTGGTAGGAAGTATGAAAGAACAGTATGAGCAAAGCCAAAAAGGTGTATGTGTGTGCGTGCACACATGTGCTTGAGTCACACTACACAAGGCAATCGAGAGAAAAAATGCCCAGTTGTGAAGGCCTTGAATGCAAGGTCAAGATGTTGGATTTTATCCTGTGGGTGATGGGAAGCCAGAGGGTTTAAAGCAAAGAAGATTCAGCTTTTTCATTTCAGAAAGATCACTCTGAAGTTTTACTGTGAAGTACGGGTTTTAGGGAGGTTAAGACTGAAGACCAACTTGGCTGTCTAGGAAAGAGGTGAGGAGGACCTGTAATTAGGTATGAGTGATAGGGATGGAGAACTATTTAGGGGATACAATCAGCATGACAGCATCCGGTTGACAGGATGTAAGGGTAGAGAAGTATTCAAGGGTGGTGCCAGGTTTCTAGTTTGGGTGACATAATGAATTACAAAAGGAGGAATAGAGTTGGCCCAAGATTCAGTCTTGGCCTTGGTGTGTGTGAGGTACCTGTAGTATATTAAGATGGAGAAGGCAAGTAGGCAGTTGCATATGCATGTCAGAAGCTCAGGAGACTATTTGAGAAACATTAGCATAGAGGGTGTACGAATTAGGGGAGTACGTGAGATTCCGTGGAGGAGAGAGGAGGGTCTAGGAGGAAAGGAGTCCAATGGGAGAAGTTAAAGAATCATCAGGGAGGGATAGGGAGAACCAGGAGACTACAATTTTGAAGATGCTCAAGGAGCTGACAGTTTATAGAAGTTAAGTTTCAGAAAGATAAGGACTGAAAATAATTTGGTATCTAAGAAGTCCCTGGTGATCTTTGCTGTTTCAGTGCAATGGCAAGGGCATGGGAGTAAAAGCCAGATTTAAGTGAGTTCAACAGTTACAAAAGGTAAGGAAATAGAAGCAAGTAGCATAAACAATAGACTGGATAAGTTTGACTGAAGAGGCGGGAATAGGGAAGTGAGGGTAGATGTTAGAGTCCATCTTTATGGTTGCCCACCCGCCTTTTTTCGCCCCCAACAAATGAGGTCCAGAGAAAGGACGGACCTTGCCCACGCTCAGCCAATGCCAGTTAGAAACAGACTCCATCTGGCTGAAGTGACTATTTTATCCATTGCTCCTAAGCCTTTGATTTTCTAGCCTAAAGCTGTCTCCAGGGAAGGAAGTATTTGGTATTTGCCAAACCTGGCCAGCTTGTCTTCACCCTCCCCCCATCTCTCTTAACTGGGCAAAGGCACTTCCTCCCTTCCACCCACACCCAACTTTAACTTCCCCTCCTCAGCTGCAGGTCAGGTAGTATCCACCAGAGGGCTCTCTGCATGAGCCCTGGAGTGAGCAGACCCACTGTTGGGGCATGAGATGGCAGAGAGGGCTATTTGTCCTTCCAGAGCAGAGTACCCCAGATGAATAATTTCCCAATCCTACCCCATCCCCCACACTTCTGAGAACCCCAAGATGTGATAAGATGACATGAATAAAATTAAGGTCAAATAAGCTCACATATGGATATGGACGAGCATCCAGGAGCTCTGGTAGCATAGTGGCTAAAGCACTTGACTGCTAACCAGAAGGCTGGCGGTTCAAACCCACCAGCCACTCCTCGGAAGGAAGGT